ACAAAAGCTTCCTAAAGGCTTTAATAAAGAAAATAAAAAAAATGTCATTTTATGGAGAAAATTTGTGGCGCCATCTAGCGGCGAAACTGCGAACTAAACTGAAAAACGTATGTCCGGACACGCAGTAAAGGGGCCAAATAAAAATTGATTTTCTGGGTTTAATAGGCAAACAAATGAATAACTTATTCAACAAACATTGCTTTAAAATATCTAATGAAGCATGCTACGTCGTCAAAGTTGCGAAATATTACTTTTTATATTTTTCATTAACCCGTGTACGGGCCCATGAATGGCTATTTTTCTATTTTCTTTAATAATGGTCCTAGCAGGCTATAATTAGATTCGTTCGATTCCGTAGGCGACAAGGAACAATTTGTATATCTCAGAATTGCGGAAAAGTCCCTAGTTTTCGAGAAAATCGAGATTTTCTATTTTTGTAGTTCCAACTTTCGCCGCTAGATGGACGGCAATTTTTTAGTCCATAAAATGGGCTATTTTTCTATTTTCTTTAATAATAGTCCTAGCGGGCTATAAGTAGATTCGTTCGATTCCGTAGGCGACATGGAAAAATTTGTATATCTCAGAATTTCGGAAAAATGCCTAGTTTTCGAGACAATCGAAATTTTAGTTTTTCGTGGTTCCGCCGCTCGCCGCTAGATGGCGCCACCTGTACCGTTTTCGACCGAATTCGACAAAAATTGATTTTCTGGCTTTATTAGGCATCAAAACGCATCAAACCCTAATAGAAATTTGTTTCTAAATGCCTCAGGAACCATACTACGTCGCCAAAGTGCCGAAATATTAATTTTTTTATTTTCCTTATGGTCAATGAGGATCAGTTTTTAACCGACTTCGAAAAAGGAGGAGGTTACTCAATTCGATCAGTATATATTTTTTTTTTTTTTTCGGTGATTATTCCTCCGTGGCAAGTCCGAATTAACAATTTTTTTTTCTATATCCATCTGGATGTACATACGCATGTGCGTGCAAAATTTGATGAGAATTGGTTGAGTGGTGCATAAGAAAAACGCGGACAAAGAAGTTGCAAAGTCAAGTATAAGAGCTTCGCTCGCCTTCGGCTTGCTCGCTCAATAAACGCAATTAAAGCATATTCTTGTTTATTAAACTTACAAAATATATATTAATACTTCGTGAAGAAATATAATAGTTTAAATATATTATACACAATTTCAATGTATATACATACATTGTTTTTGTTATAAAATTTGCATTTTTCTACCTTGTTTTTATTTCACATTTGTCTTTCGTGTCTTCACATATTTTTACAATTTCTGAAATAAAAGATCGTACCATTTAATATTCAGCCATACAAATAAATGAATAAAATTTGCAGAAAATATCTTACTTTGAACAATTTCTTGTAAAATAGATACAGTTGGCGAGTCCGGAATTTCTGTTAAAAAGTTTTTGCCCTCGTCACAACATCTAGCTAAAAGCGGATCTAAGGGAAGAGAACCTAAAAACTCTACATCTAATTCTTTAGCCATTGCACAGCCACCACCAGTTGTCGCAGGAAATATCTCGACGATATTCTATTTAAAAGTGTATTTGTATAAACGAGAACTGATAACACTATTTAATTAATTTGATATCACTTTTTATATTTACCTTACATTTAGGGCAAGTAAATGTACTCATATTTTCAATAACTCCCAAAATAGGTATATTTACTTTTCTACAAAAATCAATTTCTTTTCTCACATCCAATAGAGCAACTTGTTGGGGAGTTGTTACTATTATTGCTCCTGTTATACCAGCACCTTTAAGATAAGTTGTAGCTGATAAATGTTCGTCCGATGTACCAGGAGGGGTATCTAAAATAAGATAATCCAATGTGCCCCAATCAACCTCTGTCAGAAACTGTTTAATCATTCCTAGAAATAATAAGACATTTTAGTATATAATGTCATAGTGTAAAATACATAAATAAAGTAAACTTATGCAACAAAAAGGTTACCATTCTTTTTAGGTCCTCTCCATACTACAGCATCTTCTGGACTAGCAAGTAAAAATCCAATAGACATTAGGGACAAATTATCCTCTATGTACTAAAAGAATCAACAGAATTTACTTAAGTATTATATCATTAATATAAATTACCGTCATATTTATATGAAAAGCTTACTACTGGAGACCATCCTGATCCACTTTGATGAACTTGCTCTCCTATTGCACCTAACACTCTTGGTTGAGAAGGTCCACAAATATCAATATCCAATACTGCAACCTATTAAATTCATTTATTTAGTTTGGTGCAAATTAAATAATTATATAATTGTATACATTAGAAGGTGTTTTTGTTAGTTCTGTTTAAGATTATAGCTGTAGAGTAACAAAGGTTTAAAGTAATCAATAAGAAGCTGGTACATAGTGACACGGCATACACAGGTTGCTAAGCATACAGATATTTCCTCTTCAAAATTTATATCGTAAGCTGGAAGTGGCTAGCAGAAGTTACTTTGTTGATATGTACATTGAAAACAATATGGATGTTCTTGGCAATGTAAAAAAGGTAAATTGTCTTTAAAAATTAACTGATATTTAATTTATGATGTATAATATAATTCTTAGAAATTACGTGATATATACAAGAATGATATATACATTTCTATTACGATTGTCTGCTGCTAAACATCTGGATATCAAAGATGTAACAGTGCTTTTCCCAACTCCACCTTTACCAGATAATATTAGTATTTTGTTTTCAACCATCGAAAGTCTTTCTTTAGCAAGTGTTATACCAGGATCTGGTTGTTTAAATGCCCCAGATGCACATATTGTCTGATTCGGACAACCGGCACACAGAGATGCTTTCCCTGCATCTCTGCTTGTAGTGCCAGGACAGTCTGAAACAACAAGAACGAATGTTATTTCTTTTTTATCTCTTCACATACCACTTATATACAACTTTATAAGAATGTCAAAGTTAAAAATTGAAAAAATTGCGAATAATGTATATATTGAAGTACTATTTATTTCTTACGTGTACTACAAAATTTTTTAAACAACTAAACTTCCTTATATTTTGCTAAAATTAAAGGTAGCAAAATATAACCTTGCATTTAACAAAAAAAAACATTAAACAGCGATCGATTACAAATAGTTTTTTGTATCTTTAAATTTGTTATTTTATTTAATTTCACCAATAAAATATTGTAAACATTTAATTGATACTTTGTCAAATAAGATATTTAACTGCACGTGTACTTACGTTTAGGCGCATCATCAGGTATATCTGCCATGTTGGATTACAACTAAGTTTGATGAATAATAATATTACTATTGTCAAAAATTTAACAAAAAAACAATGTCTATAATATTTTCAGGACTTTATTATTAAATTGTAATGTATTGTTTTATATAAGGCAATAATAGCGAAGAATTCATTTGTTTTTAATAATTTATATTGTATGTAATATCAAATCTTTATATTCTAATAAATTACCATTTCTCTTTTATATATGTAAAATTTATAGCAATTACAATCGTGGAGTACGGATAATATAACGATATCACGCATCGAACCTTCTATTTTACGTCCAGTAAGCAACTGTATCAGTATAAATAATTTAATTGCTCCTAAGATAGGATATGAGAATACTGAAATTAAATCTTTGTAAGTTCATACCAATTTTTATGTATTCAACATTTTATATACAACAATTGATGTGTAATCAATTACTGTTGTAGGGTCCCAGAGTCAAGATCAAGTTATACATTAGATACTGCAAATAATATAAATTCATTGAAGTTCCCAAATTTGTCGACCAAATATGAGCATGGTCCTGGGTACACTTCAAAAAATACTCTTTATTCGCGATATACACCTAATGAGTGGTTTCAGAGACAGGTGAAATATTACAATGAAGCGGATTCATGTAGACATTTTTCAGAAAAAATAAGAAACGATGCCTTACGGATTATTAGGTAAGTGTTGGGTATCATTGCTTGCATTATTTAATTATTACAAAATATATAAAAATACAGAGACGCAGAAGAAAAAGTGCAACATGGACAATATGATACTGGTAGAAGGCTAGGCGAAAGGATAAATGATATCAATTTTTGGAAAAACGAGGTGGCATCAGAACTAGAGAGATTGGTTCAGGAAATCGTTAGACTGCAGGATTGTCGTTCGGTTTTAGAAAAAGCTTTTAAAGATATAGAGAGTCCATTGCACATCGTAGAAGAGTGTCTTTATCACAGAGAAGCTAGGAAAGGTAATTGAAAACTATTTAAAAGTAATATATATATCTATATATTATGGTTGTTGTATTTATGTTCTTTTCCTTTTTTTTTTTTTTTTTTTGTTACGCAGATACCGAACTTGTGCACGACAACACAGAAAAATGTTTGTTCAAAGAACTAGAGATTTTGGAAGAAAATAGAAAGCAGTTGGAAATTTGTATAGATAAATGCAAAAATCAGGTAAAACTAAAGGTATTAATTTGTGGTATTTTCAAACATGAATTTTGCTTGCAGCTCCGAGATTGTAGAATGTGCCAATGTCGGTTGGAATTGGACCTGAAAAATAAAGAAAACGCATTAGGAATAGATACACTGTGTCACCAATTAAATAATTATAGTCATGGATTGGAATATCGTTCTGGAATTGAAAAGTTCGATCAATGGTATTCATTTTTAATCATAATTTGTACATATATTATATAGAAGGAATAGTTATTTAGAATTTAGAAAAATGAAATATATTTGTTGTGCATTAGTGCCTCGGAACAGGAGACCTGGATGAATGCTGCAAATCAAATAGTTCAAAAGTCTCAAACAGAAAGAAATAAATCCTGTCAATTAAGGACAAACGCGGAACTTCTTTTAAACAAAGTTGCTCAAGAAATGTGGGATGCATGGAGTAATACTAATAATGCTTTGGCACATAGATCTTCCGAATTACTCGAAGCTAAAAATAAACTTCAACAGCACTTACAAAAAGTAGGAAATATTATACCGGATATTCTAAAATATTAAAATAATTTATTATTTTTATTTTAGATACAACAGGAAATTTTTGATATCGAAAAAAACTTGGAATTAACACGTAAAGCTATCATAGATAAACAATATGTACTGAAAGTAGCACATACAAGATTAGAAGCTAGAATGCATCGTCCAGATATAGAGCTTTGTCGTGATTTCGCTCATACGAGGTCTGTTCTTGTAAATTTATTTGTTACGATGGTAAATATTAAAGTTTTTGTATTTGTAGCCTACAAAAAGAGATTAATGAAATAAACCATCAGATACGACGATTGCATATGGCGTTAAAAGAATTGGAGAACCAGCATCAAAAATTATTGAGAACGCGGACAACATTGGAACACGATTTGGCATTAAAAATTGACGCGATGTACATAGACAGAGAAAAAGTTTCGGGTCTTAGACGAATTTATCCCATTAACGCTCTATTTAGATTTTAATGCTAATTTACAAATAGTTAGTTTCCTGTTAGATATATTATGAAAAAAGAAAAGAAAAAAAAATAAGGAAGAGAGAGGGAGAGAGAGAGAGAGAGAGAGAGAAAACATTGAACATACATTTATCCATATGTCTCTACATAGTGTTTAAAAATTAATGTATAGTCTTTTCCATTTGTTATTTCTTCATAAAGTTTGGTATAGGAAGTTTTATTCCATCTTTGGCTTCAAAGAACGTGTAGGAAAGCACAATTTCATTTATATTTTCCATTCTAGGATCTTCCACAAAATCTGGATCAATGTAGAAGAACACTGGCATGTCAACCTTAATGGAACATTATTAAACAATATTATTAAGCGATATTATAATTTTATTATATAAAAATTGTAAAAATTTTTCCTCTAACGGTTCCATTAAACTTACTTCTTCGTGAGGATTAAGTTGTTGCTCTTCGAAGCAGAAACATTGAATCTTATTGAAATATTGTCCCACTTCGTAAGGTACTACATTATAAGTGGATACACCTGTAACCGGTGTATCTAAAGGATTTGTTGCTGTATAAAATGCCAAAGCAGTTTCTCCGGGCAAAACCTTTATCGAATTTTGCTGAGGTTTAAAGTTCCACTGCATAGTTGCTGCTGTATCAGCATTAAATTTTATAGTTAACACTCTATCTTTTATGGGTTTCATTGTGCTCACTTTAGTATTATCATGATTAAGGGAAACTGTTCCGCCATAACTAGTTGACTATCGAATAAATTGCTGCCATAAATAATGCAATAACTAGAAAAAATGTTTTATAATCGGATTATGTTATACCTGACAAAATACTCTATATAAAGGTACTGCGGCATAAGTTAATCCTAGTATTAATATACCGCCTCCACTCCAATAGAAGCGCGAAGAACGTATCCTTTGCTTATGAGCAGCATTATAATATTGATTAAATAAAACTCGAGAAACGTTAGTGTGTATTTGTCTTTTACAGTTGTTTAGTAACCTTTGTGGTACTATTAAATACATTTTGCTCTTCTTTTGATTGTTCTAACCTGGAATTAATAGGAAGACAAAAAGAAAGACTTCTATTACAATGTATGAGAAAATACCTTTACCGAATTTAAAAATGATCTCTATAAAAAGCAACTGGTTTTGCCGAGTTATTGTTTATTTAATAATGTAAAATTGAATGTAAAATACAACGGTTATATTCGATCGAGATAAGTAAATCACGATGTAATTCGTGATATACGATTTAAAATACCGATATCGCCGAAAGTAACATTTTTTGTTAGGTATATCTTTGAAAATGTTAATAATGTCACAAGTATAACAATCAAAGAGAAACAATGCTTAGTAAATTAGAAAAGCACATAATCGAAACCACCAACCACTGCATATCGCGATCTTTCTTTAAGAACTAAACATAGTAGTACTAACAACGAATCTTTTCAGTTTTATATTTTCACAGTTTAAAAATGTAAAACAAGAAATTTATTGTTTTTATAACTGTATTAAAATGAAATTCATAAAATCATATTTTAGTTGCGGATAGAGCATAAGTATCTGTAAATCAATTACCTCCACCTATGAGTCCTCCTTCGAATTTTCTGCTCGACTAGTAGCATCGCTTATCGTTAGATGGCGCTAGCGGTATGTTTAAATGACTACTATGGTTTCACCGACAATTTTAATTTCTCATTTTCGAGATAACAAAACGGAACAATTTATTCTCCTAAAATTCGAAGGTATAAAAAGGCTCGACAAGTAGAAGAAGATTAGTAGCAGGATTTGCTTCCTCCGCCGAAAGACAGGGTGTTTGGTCGGCAATGCTGGACTCCGGTCCGTCACGATGCTAAAGGATGCGCGCTCAAATAGAAATTTAAAAAATATATCAAAACGAATATATTTTTTCATATTATTAAATATGTAAGCTTGTTAGTTATTAAATATGTTCGTTACAGATTCCTCGTGAGCGTAAACCTGTAACTAACGATATAGAATTCGGGTGTTCAGGACGAAAGGGCAACGACACGATTGATTAATTGCAAATTGATAAAACTTGAGATATGACAGTTGAAATTTTGGAGAAATTCTGGAAGCAAGTGTAAAGATTAGTTGGTCGATATAGTTTAATCACGGTTGTATTAATACGGGGAAAAGTGTGTTGTTTAAATCGTCGATTACCGATATTAAGTCGCACGAGCGAATAAAAAGTACTTTCTTAAAGACCTCGATGCATTTACGCGATCCTCCTACACCATTTAACCCCCTATCTCTATCGATTTTCTTAAAGGTAACGAAGTCGAGTTACTCCTAGGAGACCATTGCCTCCTACCAAATCGTATTCAGTTATCGATGCAACGCGAAACAAACGGTAGCGTACAACGCGTTTTGTCCGTTCGTTCGGTCGTTCGTTAGTGAATGTAACATGAAAGAAAGATTTCGTTATAAAGTTATCTCGTAACAGAGTATCGGGTGTTTCTTGTACGGTGCGTTTTTTGTTTCCGCGTAAACCGTAAAATCGATCGGTTTCATTACTTATCCGTAGAGAAGTTTTATTTCGGAGTAAACGGAGAAATTGTCGACGAATTAAAAGAAAGGGTTTCGCGACGGAAATGGATCACCGATAACACGTTCGATAACGCCGAGTGAATTTAAACCGGTACGATCACAACGACAAAAAGTAGAAAACGTGTTTAACGGTGCAAAGTAGAGACAACTAAGAACGTATTTGTCTAAAGATCGTCTGAACAACATCGAAGCCGTAATCCGTGAAAGGAATAAGCGAAAGGCTAACTTCGAAACGTTGGTGGGGCGCTACTTTTGATGGAACATAACTTCCTCGCAACGCGTATACTACTAGTCCGATTATATACGGTTTTATTTCACTGGCGCGCGTCCCGATTGTCCCAAAGTTCGAAAACTCTGTACGATCGGCAGTCTGTCGATCTGTTCCAAAGCTTTCCAAAAGCTTGGGATTGGAACACTGTCGCGGAAAGAGATCGCGATCGAACCCACGAGAAAAGATGAAGAACACGGTGGAAAAGATGTTGTAAGACGACGATGAAGAAAGATGATCTTCGATCCAATCTCCGACGAACAGAGAAAACGTTTTTTTCGACAGAATTATGGCGCTCATTTACCTGGGTAAGGTCACGATTATCGTTATTTAGTTCGGTTCGATTTGTATAGTCGAGCTTGATTAACCGCGTTAATCGAATTCGCAATGTTCGCGACGTTAAGTTGTCTTCTTGCGTAACGCTCGCGAACGCAACGATTAGAAATTAAAGCGTATTCGTCGAACAACAACATCTCGATATACATATAGTAAACTACTCGATCGAGTACGGGAAGAAAGTTCCCAAAGAATGTTCGGAAAGACGAACAGCGTGCTTGGTCTCGCGGTGAAGCGGGTGGTTTTTCATCGATTCGCGACGGATTATGTGGTAGGTGGAACGGTGGTTCAAGTAGAACCGTGCGATGAAACAGCTGGTACCGATCCTAACACGCTTTGTATCGCGATCGTACCATTCTGCTGGTAATCACGATCGTTCGATATCTAGCATTTAAACTAAGCGTAGTCTAAACGATCCGATTATGTATGCGTAAAAGAACGCGCGAATACTCGTGCGTCGCGTTCGAACGATCTCGAGTCACCTCCGAGTTCAACGATGCGTTTAGTTCAACACGCCGACTAATGCTTCGATTTACTGGGTCACCGGTAGTCCACTTTCACGGTTCCACGATTACGGTACCTACGTACTTCGCAAAGTCCGCTCGATCGAATTTCGTTTAACGATTAGCGACGGCGAAACGAGAATATCCGACGATTACGCAATCGTAAGTTTGTTTCGCGCATATACGCCGATAGAGAAACGCGGTACAGAATTATCGAGCAAAACCAGGATCGGCTATGTAAATCGTTTCTTAATGATTCGCCGATCGCGAGTTTTCCCTTTGCCCTTTTTCCAGCTATACCGGTCATTGTCCTACCCTTAAATTTCGAGTTGGAAAACGATTCGGCGCGTGTACGGAAGAAATAATGAAGGTAAGAACTATGAATATACACATCATATACCTATGCGCGGATAAAGTAAAGCGAACTGTAACGATACAACGCGACGTAATAGAAAATATAATGTAATATAATATAATATAAAGTTAAATGCTTCCACGGAGGGTGTTACGTGATACAGGAATTACTTGAAAAAAGAATTCTGAAAGAAGGCCCTTATAGACCGAATTCGCGTGGAAGGGACTCGCGCGATAATACATCGATGTTTTACGAGAAGGATACGAAAGCAGAGTGGAAGAACGAAACGCATTTGTTCAGAGCACCTCCGTATATCCTGGGATATACTGGTAAATAAATGAAAAGAACGAGTGACACACGGGTGTAGGTCTTCCAATTAAAGTTCAAGTCGTATTATTCGATTACCAGGATACATTCCTGGATTTAATAGCAGATACGGTTTATCCTTTATGAGAGCCGTGGAAGAAGGAGCTCGGGAATGGCGTGAAAATCAAAATAAACTAAGAGCTCGTAAAGAAATAACGAGAACTCGCGTCGAAGGATGCAATCCTGACAACGACGTTTTGCACCGAGCGAGGACCGGTGATCTAGCCGGCGACATCGATCATGGCCAACATAAACGATTTCGTATGTTGACCGTAGACAATTCTCTACGCAAGACAATTTACTCCGCTCTCGTGCGTTATTCAGATATATTATTTACAGATTACGAACTGTCGCCCGAAAGACCGCCGATCGTTGGTTATACGGGTCACATCCCAGGCGCGAGAGGAGAAGTAGCGCTTTCGAAGAGATACGCACAAGCGGCGAAAAAGGGCCTGGAACTGGTTCGTAAAGAACGCGAAGAAAGGTTAAGTAAAGCAGGAAATACGAATACGGTACATAATACGGTGTTAGATCGAGCGAACGTCGATCAACTTGCTATTATGCCACTATAGATCTTCGTGCAAACTTCCAATCGTTACAAACACTTCGCTTAATTCGAGCTAACGAGATGACAATCTTTTCTATCGATTAAGTAAATATGAAAATCGTGGCAAAACTACACCAACATTATTCTTTTACTCTCTTCCGTAATACAAATTACCTAGTAATTTTAGGAGTTTTAGGAGTTTTAGGAGAAAAAATATTAAGAAAAGAATCAAGTATTTGAAGCAGGAAAAATAAAAGCTAATCAATGTATATACATATAGTACTTTTCAACGTGTTACGTTTTATCGAGAAATTCTTCAAAGTATTTCCAACCGGAAATATTTTCTAAGAATATAAGACAGAAACGGTTTGCTATTTCCATTTCCAAATTCGGAACGAATCGAAAATAAACGTTACCCTCGAATCATCGAAATGGAATTTAGCAAATATTATGAGAAATTTTCGAAATTTCTTTACTTTATTTAATTACTCGTGAGTGGTAAAAAATATTGCTTTAATTTAAAAAGTACAAAATTATAATAAACGAATACAATTAATGGACAATATAATTCTAATTTTACTCGAGTTAAATCTACCTTTTTTCTGCTAATCGACTTAATCGTTCTGTCTCCATTTCGACTGCTTTCTTCCAATACTCCGTATTCAAAGTGCTCGATCCATGCGATAACGATAATAATCTGGCAAGTATCATTAACGCGTGCAAATGATCACTGTTTACGCTTTTGTATGTTTGTCTTAATTTTATAAAGTCATTTTGAATTTCCTGTGCAAAAGTCGAAATAGAATTAAATACTTTTTAATAACGTACAAATTAATCTTACGATATATATATAGATAAGAGTAGATTTATTTCAATTACCTTCGTAACATTCTCGTTGAATTCGAATTTTGCCTTTCGTACAGCCGCTAAATATAATCGAATATCTTTCAATCGATTTTCATTTTTCAAGTATTGCTCCGCAATTTCGATTATTTCGGAGTAGATGTTCCCCGATTCCGCATCTATTTTCAACATAACTTGATTTTGACACTAAAATAAATATACGTAAGAAAATTTTTGCCATTTACTCGAATCGCTCCAGCCAATTGTAATAAAAGTTTGTTCGTACAGGAATAAAAGATTTTGCTTCGGATAAAATTAAAACTGGAATATCGCTGTCGTACTCCATTTTATAGAATTTAAAGTCATACGTAATCCTTTGAAAATTAACTAAATCGCAAATTGCATTGTAATTTTCACGTCCTGCTTGTGTTATTTGCCCTGTGGTTAATCCAGTTTCATCTATCACCAGTTGAGTATTATCGCTAAGTTGAAGTACTCCGCTGGTCAGCCTGTTGCACTCGTAATCTTTTCTGACCACCGACACAGAAAAGTCTTTTAAATGATATTATAATATATGCTAATTGAAATATTTTATCTTACTCACTTTGGCGATAACGTTAAATCGTTTAAACTTTCTAAAGTGATTTCCAGTAGATGACTTTTTTCGGTAAATAGCGATAAAAATTTATACAGATCTTTTGTAAACGATTTGTATTTCGTTGCAGGAAAATGTGTTATATTTAATGGATAATTACCAAGACAAAAGTAATCTCTTCTCATATAACTGAAATAGAAAATAATATATGTTCCATCTTCTCTAGCCACGCGTATAAATACATATATGTAATATACTACACGCGTTCGAAATGAAAAATACTCACACGGATGAAAGTAAGTGACAGATTAAATAATCAGCGGCCAACTGATCTCCGAAAAGAAGCTGGCTCAAAACCAAATGAAGATCGTTTCTTATTAATTCTGCCTTAGATATTATTTCTGGCCCATTCTTTACTTTCTGTTTATTTAAGTGAATTACTTTTACAGCATGTAATCGAGGAACGAGAGAAGCAGGTGGATGATGAACGTTCGTTTCTGCTTCCGTCATGGTCCCGTCCTCTCCATCATGAATAGTTGTTAAAAGAGGATCTAAAGATATAAACCCAACTACTTCGATAATCTCGTTCAATTTTAAAGATACATCTTCGTATGTCTGTAATACGATGCACGGAAAGATAGCTTATGCAGAGCTTATTAATTTATATATTAATTAAAAAACAGTTGATTAATAATTACGTAATAACCTTCACTATACATGCTTTGCCATCTTCTATAGGTATTGGAAAATTCAATATATATTCTTTTGAAAGTATTTGACGCTGACCCATGTCGTGATCGTTAATATCCATTTTTTCGTCGTCCGGGGTCAATGGAAATTTTTCTTTTTTACGAATTGGTTCGAAACACTCCATCATCGTGTCGTCGTTTGCGTCTAAATTTCTTTTCTGACTACTTTTTACTAAGGTATTCGAACCACGCGGAGATTCGTTCTTTTCCTTTGCCCAATTGTTTAACCCAGGAATCGATATGACGATACATGTGTGCCTTTCCGAATTTTCATTTTGGTCTGAATCTAACAAGATTTCTTCTTCTGGCTAACAAAAATATCCAATTAAATCTTATGAAATATCGACAAAACGCTTAACGCGGATCATAAATCGGTGCTAAAAATAACATGTTGGCAGCATTATACACGAGATAAACTGTTCTTGTAGCATCTCGCACCTGAAACTACCATGTTTTCGTATAGGCCCTTGAATCCATACAAATGATGTTCGGTATATAAACCCGTATACCAAACAATCTATATAAAGGCCATAATATATAAAAATTTTTATCGAATAATTACCAAGCACTTAGCACAGTCCATGTACATTCCACACCTGACTTCGCGTGCCTCTGTTTCAATATTTTTCACCTCGTATTGCTTGAAATAGTATTCAGGATTATGCATATCTTGAATCATTCCTTTGAATCTGACTAATTGCTGATTTCTAAAGTTATGTACAGGTTCATTGTTCAGTAAAGGAATTTTCATTAAAGCCTCTGTACACTCTAAAACGCTGTTACAACTTGATTTGTTTGCGATGAAATATTCAGGAGTCCAATTTGTTATTTCAAGCGATGCTAAAAGACAATGACTATCGTTATTTCGTTTCTGTATCTAATGTCGTAATTTCAATAAAAGATTTTACCACAATCACAATTTGAATAAAAACATTTACTTACAACTCATTATATTCGTGTGTATCGTTATTTTAGCATATATTTATGAATAGAAACTAATACGTTTTGAAAGACTTCGAAATATCCAAATACGTGTTCGCTATCGAATGAAACATTAAGAACGGTAAAAACGCGCGAAAATATTGTAAAATCGATGGATGGAAACCATAAACTACCGGTATATCAGATGAGGTGGCAGCAATAGACAGCGCCATCTAGGCGATTACGCACTTATAAATAATCTGACAGCGTTAAAATACAGCGATCGAGTGTTATTATTTTGAATAACTGTGAAATTATAAAATGGAAACTGACGATCAGGATACCAACGATGATTATTATTTGGAATTATCGTCCGATCCAATTAAATTCGAGTCTATTAGTTCACTCACAAATGTATTCTTTGACGATTCTAAACAACAGGTTAACATTTTGATACTTAACTGTTTTTTTCGCTTGGAAGCTTAATTATTGATTGAAAACGTGTTTATTTTCAGGTATTTGCAGTTCGATCAGGAGGTGTAACAGGTGTATCGGTTAAGGGACCAAATCAAAACATAAATTTTCGAATGGAAGATAAGGGTGCAGTAATATCTATTAAATTTTCTCCTGACATGAATATACTTGCGATACAACGTTCCAATTCTTCTGTTGAGTTTGTCAATTATTCTCCTATTGTTGGGCTCGATAATATAGAATATTCTCAACCGTGTAAAGGAAAAAATGCAAGTATATTGGGATTCGTTTGGACACATGGAAACGAAATATTACTTGTTACCGATTATGGTGTAGAATTATTTCAAGTAAGAGTTTGAAGTGTATATATATTAATTTGTTGTCCACGATAACTCGTGGTTAAAAGTTCATAATTATTTCAGGTAAATCCAGAAAAAAGAACTGTTAGAGTTTTGAAATGTTTAAGTTTAGGTATAAATTGGTTCGTATTTTGTCCACAAAGTTATTTAGTTTTATTATCGTCTGGCACAGTAGGGAATCAAATGCAAGCATTGCACGTAACACCCGGAAATCTTCATAAATTAACAAAATTTGAAAGTACGATATCAAAAATTTTTTCATGGTTACCAGTGGTTAATGTCTGAGAAAAAAATATACACTGATCGGCATTAAAATTGTTCTAGTGGAATCCGGTACAACAAAACCGGGTAAACTAGCAGTTTCAGAAAGAGACGTAGCTCTGGCAGTTTTATACGGAACACCTTGTATTATTTTGCTACGCCATCAGCCAGGCGCTAATCGCTCTACAGGATCTGCTTCTGTATATGTATATACTGTCCATAAGTATGCTTTTTTAGTATTCTGAATCGGATGAAAAGCTTGACAGGTTATCGTACGGTATTCTATACTTTTTCATGTTTTACAATAGAATGACAACAATTAGAAGAAGTCATATTTTAAAGCTCGACGTCAGCGGCAGATTTGCCATTAACGTTGTAGATAATCTTATAATTGTTCATCATCAAGCTTCAAAGGTAAGCTGATATACGTTATTAGAAGGAAATGAAAGAAAAGAAAATAAAATATATTCGAAATAGTCATAACATTAACGGGAATTTTCCAGACATCGATGATCTTTGATATCATGTTACCGGGTGTGAGCGATGGTACCGTGATGCATCATACTAGCGTGGCACCCGCAAAACAGTTGAAACCGTATAATTTAAAAGTACCAGGAGCAACCTTATCGAACGAGACTTATCAACCTTGTCAATTATGTATCCTTGGTGAAAGCAACGAGCGTTCTTTACCGCTTTTATTTATGTCTTTCCTGAACGTTACGTACAGATTCGCCAAATTGGGTCGTTTTTCAGCCGAATATAATCATCGATGCGAAGTTGGGTTGCTTGTGGTAGGTTCGTTAAAATTTCATCATTTTCAATCGTACCATTTTGTCGTCCCAAATTTGAAGACGATATAATCCGATCAAAGGCAATAGATTATTTCGATCTATTCGACCGATTACAGGTACGTCGAATTGAAGTTGGAAGCTTTGGTAAAACTTATTACGGACAAGATATTGTTGGTTGAATTTTTAATGCAACGAACAAATGCAAAGCATATTTTAATACAAGTGTTACAAAATTTTATAACACAATTGCCTATTAGTTTAATGGACATGCCGACGATATTTGACAAATTGAATTGCGTCTACAGAAATTATTTGGAAAGCGAAATACAAAACCAGGCGAGTATATATATATATGTAGGATTTTGATTGTTTTTCGTTCATTGTTTCGATAAGAAAAGTTTCACTGATTCATTCGTTGATAAATATTTTTAGATGGGAACACCTTTGCAGAACAACATTAAAAATACGAGTACAATAACAGAAGACTATAAATATAAACTGTTACTCAATCAAAGTGACATGTATAGTTATATATTATCGAAATTTCCTGAGAATACAATAGATCCGAAAATGATCGTATGGGTTCTTCTCGAGTATATCAGGTACATACGATAGCTGGATCGATCATACTGTAAATTATTGGTTAGGATGAAATAGGAACGCATCTCAGTGACGTTACGTTGATTTTAGATCGTTAGCCGAACATGAAATTCCCGTGCAACACTATTTGCACGAATTAGTTATCACAACGTTGGTTCAACGAAAAGCATACTATCAGCTTCATCAATTACTACAGTATCACGTAGTCGCGGATTCGAAACCTTTGGCATGTCTGTTGCTTTCTCTCGAGAATTTGTATCCCGCTGCGCATCAGCTTGCTTTGGATATGCTTAAACGATTGGGAAACGCTCACGAGGAAATAATCGAAGTTCTTCTCTCGAAAGGGCACATTTTAGCAGCGTTGCGGTAAAACTTTTTGTATACATTATTGTTATTGTTATTATTACTATTATTATTATTATTGGAATGCGACGAATGGGAGATAAAGTGGGATATGGTGCACGATACATGGACGATTATTCTGTATATAAGATGATTCTTTTCGGTTTCAGATATGTTCAATCAGTTGGAATGGCGGATCAAGTATCTGCCAGAAAGTTTTTGGAGGCAGCAAAAACAAGCGAAGACGCAACGTTATTTCACTCGGTATATAAATTTTTCGAACAGCGTAATCTGCGACTGCACAACACTACGGCTTTCACAAAAGGAGAACATTGTCAGCCGTACGTTCAACATTTCAAATATTTATTCCAAGGAACGGATAACGGTTGTAATTCGGATACAAATTCCAACGTAACAACGATCTCGTCGTGAAACGTCATCTTGTTGCTGTTATTATTGTTGGTATCGTTTATCGAACGAAAGTGCATAAAGCGATTTTACCATAAAGCGAAAGAACGTTGAATACAATGAAATATTTATTTAACCCGTTATAATTTCACTCGCATAATACGCCGGAGAAGTGATATTCGATCGCGTTGGCGAATTCGCGATACTCGAACGAGTTGGTTGAACACAACCAACAGTGTTTAAACGGTGCAATTTGGACATTCAGAGGATTGTCGTTATCTTAATACGATGAAATTTCGATGGATCGTTAATTTATTTTAAACGATACGTTTTCACGCTTATTTTTGTACAGAGCGAATGCGATTCGTTCGAAAGCGACAGAGCCTTCGCCGTAGCACGAAACGACATTAATAAATAGTATTGTAATTTATAATAGAAATTATAAATTCACAATGAAAATAGAAGGAAAGTATTTTAAAAGTTGTACCTAAGGGAAGAATCATTTCGTTTCGTTTTATATTCGTGAAAGGATAGAGTAATCGTTCGACGAGAATATTGCCGATCGATTCGAAATGAAGAAAAATATACGTGTACATATATTGTTTTCACGGGTTGTACTTCATTGTTTGGTGCTTATACGTAAGTTATATGCGAAATATTTAACGATACACATACGAACGAGTATTAATTTGATTCGAATACTTTCATGCACATAGACATTCGCAGGTTCACGCGCATTGATAGACGCGTAAGAGTAAGTAAATGCTTGTATATATTTTTATTTTAGTAGGAGTATCGTTTTGCACGAATTAATGGTATGTACCAAGAGTTTACTTACTAGCACGAACGTTTAAGTCGTAAGTCGTAACTCGTGTCGCGAGCTACGGTTGGACGAGAAAAGCATCGCAACTTAGTTGGTAAATGGAGGATATTTCGATCTACTAGTAAATGATATGAACGCGTGACCGTTACAAATGGACGGATAGGATATAAATAGATGTAAAACATGAAATAGACGCGAAGAATAGATTAGAAGATAAAATTGGAAATTAAATTGGACAGCAGGTTAAAGAGACGTAGAAAAGCCAAGGCGGAGAAGGAAAAGAATGTGACGGAAACGAATGTAATTAGATAATTATTGAGAAGCTGAAAATGTTGGTCCTTTCTTTGTCGTTAAGACGCTACGAGTTAAGAAGCTGGTATTCGTTCTAAAAAAAACTGAAAGAGTCTGAATGTTCGATATCGTTTGAATATTTAAACGCGCCAACACTGCAATTACCTTTTTACGTTTGATCATAAAGGAAATGAATTTTCTCTGGAATAGGGGAAAAGCATTCGTTTCTTCCCATCGTCATCGGGCATCGATATTAATAAAAGAAGAGGAAACGGTCCTTTTCTTGTTTTCATCGGGTATGATGAGTATTTCGCAGTTCTCTCTTCGGTAGACTAGAGTCGAAGTGGTGGGTTGTCACGCGAAATATGGAAAAGGGGTCGAGTTCGTAATATTTCGATACGTGTATGGGTGTCGAGCAACGCGACATCGACGTCATTGTTCTATTCCTTCAACCCCTTTCATTTCCCGCTTTTCTCTCTTTCTTTCTTGCGTCTACTTTGCTTCGTTTGAAATACCAACATAAAACATACGCATCGAGTCTCTTTTCTAGAATTATTTCTTTTCTAAAACAACGAAACCTTTTATTTCGCTCGCTCGCGGACAGAACGTTTTGGGTCACGTAAATAAGTATGTATTTGTACATAAGATAGGAATGGATGGGGAGATAGAAAGAAAAGTAGTAAGAAAATTAGGAAATGTTGCAGTCGTCCGTGTGAGCATCTCTGATCTGCTGTTTGGTTTTTCGCGATGTGCGTCGGATCAAGCTACGACTGCGCGGTTTGCTTTTCGTTTCCTCGTTGGCGACGACGGGGACGTTCGAAGTTTGTGCTGCTATCACTTGCTGAGAACTGGTACCAGAGCCGGCGCTTCCGGTTCTGCCGCGTGGACTGCCAGACCTAGCGATTCGATCGTTTGATTTTCAATAATACCGCGTAATCGATCGAGCGTTACATGCAGGAGAGTAGATCCAAAGTCCGAGAAGTTCGCTAAACGTCAATTTGGTTTTCTCTGATTCGCTTTGAAGTAGGTATGTGCCGTTGAAAGGTGAAAGGGAATAAAAAAGGATTTAATCGACAGCGGTTATCGCGAATTGTACAGTTACGACGATTCGAGTTTCTCGGGGACATTGAGGTCGCGCGTTACCGCATTATCGTTTGTCCCTTGTTCTCGTTTACGCGAAATTGTACGACGAACGACCAGCATCGATCGTTGTCCGTGCAGGAAACTGAAAATTGAAATTGCGAAACGCGTACGAGCCGCAAACTCGAACAATGCTCGTGAGAGAAGCAAGAGGCGGAGAAGGAGGTAACTAAAATAGGTGAGAGAAGGGTGTAACAGAGGTGGAATAAAAACGAAACGAAACGATACGGAAAGGACAGAGGGGGAAAAACGAAAGGAATACCTGCGCGATCCATACGCTGAACATCTCCGTCGGAGACCAGATTCGTCCGTTTCACCGGTATGGTTCTTCGGCACGATTTTCGACAGGGTGATGAAACATCGAAAAATGTCTTTGATATTGTAATCGTCTTTGGCAGAACATTCCATCACTTTGGCACGAAGCTTAGGTAACTCGCAAAATAGCCATTCGCTGACGTCCTCGATCGGCACTTCCCTTCGCGTCGTGGCAAGGTCCACCTTGTTTCCGGCAACGACTATTGGCACTTCCTGTCGAGCAACGTCGAGAAACGATAGAAAACGCGATTCTTCTTAGAATTGAACATACGCTACCTGAAAGTCCGGCCGCTGTTCCCTGACTTCCTCGAAACACCGTTTCACGCATTCGAAGCTCGGTAACGAGGTCGTCGCGTAAACGAGGAGAAACGCGTGGGCTGTAGCGATGCTTAGCCTCCTCATAGCTGGGAACTGCAGGTCGCCTGAAATCAATCGCTAACGTGTCCGCGACTCGTCGCGCGTAAACGCGACGGATATTCTCGAACGAATTCGAGACTATCCAGCGGCTTCTTACCGGCAGTATCCAGCAGATCGACTTTCAGAGTGAGGGTGCCGAGAACGCATTCCCTCGAGTAAAGGTCCTCGACGGTCGGTCTATACCTCTCGCTGAATCCTTGGCCGAGCAGACGACGGATGATCGCGCTCTTACCGACGCCGGCACCGCCCAGTATCACCAGCCTGATCCTTTCGTGATCGACCATTTCGCTCAAGATTTCGACTCGCGAAGCGAAAGCGAAACACCGATTAGATGACTCAAGGAGGCATCGGTCGGATACTTTCTTACTTCCTTCGCTTCCGTTTCTGCCAGCTCTCTTTCTCTCCGAAGGCAGTTTCAGCCCGTCTTCGATTCGATCGCGCGCGTCTCCTTTCGCTGGAAAAAATCTTACTCTTCTTACTTGCTCCACAACGAATCTATATATCTTTGAACAAAAAGCTAACGAAAAAAACGATCGACGAGTAAACGATATACGAACGGACTCGTTTCGAAGGTGAAAGAAAAAAGAAAGCGCGTCGCGGACTCTCGTTAAAGCTCTGCTCGTTATTATTCGCTAATAGGATCGGGCTGCAACTAATTAGCGTGTCGATCATCGAAGCCGAGAACGTACTGGATATCGAAGGACCCAGAGAGATCGTTTTCCAATTAACGCCGCTCGTCAGAAACTATTTTTCTGTTCGTCGATTTCCTCGCGCTGACCCCGAATCGAAACTTTCGATCGTTCGTTCGTCGAACGAAAAGTGCAGACCAGTTCTGCGAGGAACCGGAGATCCATCGAAGACGCGCCGCGCCGCTCCACATCGCGTATCGACGTTCCTATTCCGCGAGTCGGTCGCGAGCAACTTTCTACGGAAGCAGAGAATACCAGATGCATCTCGTATTTCCGGTGGGTACGCTTAACGCGCTTGCTACTCGATCCGCGGCGAACCAATTCCATTCTCCTGGAATCTCAGCGATAAACAGATGCGACCGCGCCCGCGGCAAATAACTTGTCCTTTTGCATTTTCTTCTATTCCATTCGTTCGTATCCTTTCCCTGCTAATCGAACGAAGCGATTTTATAACGTCAGGATACGATTTAATTACGGATCGGCGCCCGTTCGTTACGCATGGGAATTTACGGAGGCGATAAGAGCTACCCTGCCGCGTAGATATTGCGCGTTTTCGCCCTCGCGCTTAGTTTCGTTTAATCGTTAACTCATCCTCGTCATTTTCCCGTATTAACTTCCTAGAACACGAGACAGAACACGAGGCGCGGAACGCGAACGTGTTTCTTTAATTTCCGTATCGCGCGACCCTCCGGTACATGTACCTATCCGAGGTGAACCACGCGAACGAGCAGCTACGGCACGAACCTTTTATTCGCACGCAACCTAGGGAAACTGAAACAGCGTGCTTGGCAAAGCCGATAACGCAATCTTGCCCGAGCCAGCTACCCGCTACCAGCTACGGTTCGACGAACGCGTCCTACCTACGTGCCGTATACACCGCGTGCTCCTTCTTTTTTTTTTCTTCCTATCTTCTATACTTATATGATCCTTGCGAGGTAATTTTTAAGCCGACAATACCTTTAGGCAGTAACTTTAGCTTGTGCCAGGATAGCGCCTCGACTTGACGATCGAGTGTCCAGCGCAAAGTAGGTACGCGAGCAATCGAATTATTATTTGGCTAAAATAGAAAAAAATATCGTTCGACTAAGGACACGCTCGTACACGGAGCATAGAACGACGAGCGAGAGAGGCGTGGGTGCGGCTGCGAGGACGACAACAAGGCCAGGTAGGGAACGGTTCGTGTATCGAAACCGATCTACCGTGAAACGATCAAAGCCACTGGACAGAGGGCTGCTACTAACCGATCTATTTCTACGCGTTCACTCTCTCTCTCTCTCTCTCTCTTTAGGTCTATCACTCTTTCTTTGCTCGTCGATCCGGTTACCCGACTACCCTGCTCTCCTCCGGTGCGCTCTTCCTTCCCCTTTGTAGCCGCCGAAAGATCCTAAAGCTGATTTATCGGAAAAATTGCCGCGTCTCGCGACCTTTCCCTCCGATCGATCCTTTCGAAGCCGATCTAATCGTTTTGCCTACGAGACGAATAACTTTTTGCTCGTCCGTTGAACAAAATATTTTCGTTCGATCGCCGAGTCGACGAGAGGAAATTATTTCGATGCCGGAATAACGTGACCGTATCTCGTAAATATTATCCAACGACTAGCTTTTCGCTCTCTTTCTTCCTTCTTCGATTATCGATATTAATTTCTAGCCAAAATAATATCGAAGGTCGTTGTTGAACTGCAGCGTAATTAGAAGCTGTTTCTGAATCGTGTTTCGAACATAATTACTTGTGTACCTCGTCCGTCGGACGTGTCCGCAACGAGAACACCTTCGTGAATGAACGATTAAAAGTTTCCGAATACCTAACGACATAGTCGAGATAAAGAAACGGAAGGTGAGAAAAGAAAAAGGGAGAGGAAAGAGGGCGCGGTATGTTGGAAAGTCGCGTGTGGATTCTCCGTCGGAAAAGAACGTCTGGAGAAAACGTTCGATCTTGCACGGAAAGGCATCCCCGTTAAAGCCACCGACCGTGATAAATCTTCGAGATTAAGCTCGACCAACGTGCTTCGAAACGAGGCGCTAAAAATCTATTGTCTCGTGCAGATCCAATCGTAAAATAACGACGACTCCTCGCGATCCTATCTCGTTACGATTTTCCCTCCTCTATTTATATTTCCTTACTTCCTTGCATTCTTTTTGCTCTTGTCGGTATAGAAATGATTTGCCGCGAGAAATATAGCGGCGACTAATTTTCTCATTGGTCGTGTCTGAATACGCGGTAATGTTCGAAAGGACGGTAAATAAAAGAAAAAAGAGGAAGGAAGAAATGAGATTTCGCGATGAAAATTATGTCTACGGAGAATCCAGGCGACGCGTAATAATTATATTTCGCTCGTTCGAAAGGCGTACTAGACCGATAGATATCTCTGTGTAGAGCGTCAAGTACGAACGTCGATGATCGACGAAGCGACAAATGCGATCGGTGTTTCAAACGGATTCAATTTCGATAATATTATTTAAACATTCGTTTCGATCCCTTCGATCGCGTTTTAAAGCGACGCGTCGGAAGATACGCGAGTATCGCGCTAATCGTTCGCGTCGATCGATCGAATTACTTGACCGTGTCCTGAAACTGTTCGTAAAAGAAGCGGGAAAATATTTCTGTTACTACCGTAATGCTTCCGTATCGTTTGTCGAAAGAAGCCACATAACCTTCAAGATGTAAACGTTCCATGGAAAATATCGCTAAAACATATGTATCATCTAGTGGGAGGGCGACTTGAAACGAAATTAAATGGAAGCTGTGAGAAATGCATGAAAGTAAGCGATATTGTAAAGTAAGCGTACACGGCACATCGTTAAGTAAATTTCGTTTTACGATAAACGAAACAATTTGCCTCTTAACGATCATCGCACGTCGCGTGTTTCGCGATAAGACAAAAATTACGCGAGAACGCACGGTTTTATTAGGGGCGAACATATGGTTTGCTCCTGTTCTCTTTTTTTTTCGAAAAAGGAGAAAAGAAAATAAGAAATCTAAGCATCGACGATCGACGAGCTTCGTCGCAACGATCGAAACACGATCACATTTTACGTCTATTGTTAGTGGTCGTAAGGGATATACTACGTATTTGTAAATTGCCGATAAATATAGTAGAAACGTGACTTACCGGACACGAGTAACGACGAACGTTAGTCGATAACGGTGCACATCGAATGTTTGGATGGCATGCAACGGGAAATCAGGAGAAAAATTGGCGCAAACACCTCCCGGAGTCGATGTTCAGGCGGCACTGAAACTCCTTCAGCCTTTAGCCCGTGTCGCGTCGCGTCGCGCCGTGACTCGCGTTAACCGCCGAGTACTACGAAAATCAACTTACCCTTTAAGGAGCGTGCGCAGCGTTATCCACTTTCTAATGATACGGTCGATTCTGCTACCTGTGGAGTACCACGCTTCTCTTTCCTTTTCTCTCGTCGCTTTCCTTTCCCTTTTCGTTTCGTTTCATCGTTGCGTTGCACGGACAAAGAAATAAAGTCAAGATCGATCATCGTTAACGTTCGATCAATTTTCAACCGTTTATGCCGCGATAAAAATACATCGTCCTACCTTCTCCTGAAGCGTTCGGGCGTGAAACGTACCATGGAATTAACGCGAGTTCTTCCTTACGCGCGACGCGACTACCCCTTTTTTTTCATCGCGCGCGACAATATTTCGTCTACTCTCGACACCGTTCGCGTTATTACCTTAACTTACGTACGTATAAATAATGTTGTCCGTAAATTATTCGTGGTAAACCGTCAAGAGTGTTTCGAACGCTCGAATTCGTACAACTTCTTTGCGTGTTCGAAATATAATAATATGATGTTGGTAAAATGTGGGGGAAAACAATTGTAAAAATGTTTAAATCTATCGTTTATTACATAAATATATCACCACACAATGTTACGAGATGATCGTTTTACGTAACAAAAGAAAACGAAAGAGATCGAACGGAAAAGCGTCGCAAGAAGCAGGAAGAGGGAACGAACAAAGAGAGAGAGAGATAGGATCGTAACGTTCGAAAAAGTGTAAAAACGTCATCGCCATCGAAAAAAGTTGAACGTTATAGGCATGAAAATGATAAACTATTAGAAACGGCACCGAATAAAAAGATAAAACGGAGAAAAAAGTTGGGAAAAAAGTGAGCAGTGATCAGTCATCGCAAAGTTCTCCTCTTCGAGTTTTAAAAGCTTTCCCACTTAATCATCGTCGTGATCAACGTTAACGACGCAGCGGTTAAAGTCGTCGTTGTCCTCTCGTCATCGTCGTCATCGTCACAATCACGAATGTTTTTTCGCTGTCTACGCGTAACATAGTAAAAATATATCTCTTCGGTTTCTATAATTAATATTAATTTTAGTTAATTCGTATATCACTATCGGAACAATAGACAATGGCCAACTATATTTTCCCCTCGCACGCATACTTCACGGGCGAGAGAATACCATAATTTTTCTATTAATTTCTTTCTCGTGCGAGATAATATTCCTTACGGGATATCGAGTCCCTTTCATAAATACGCGTGTCCTGTTCTTAAAAGTTATATCAGCGGTTAAACGAATGAAAAAAAGAAAACGGAAAAAGAAGTAGAAAGGATTATTACGTAGTCGTTGTTTCTTTTTCCTTTTCCGAAGAAACTCGCTACTTTCTCACGCAGCGCTCGAGTAATGCAAACTTATTTACAACGCTAGTTTCGTTAACTTCACTCTCTTTTATGGCAAGTACGGAATGTTTGTTGCGCAAATTCCTCTACTCTACCCAAGAGGACAGAAAATACGGGGGCAAAAATATAAAAGGAGTAAAAATAACAAGTAGAAGAATAAAAAGGAACAGGAGAAGTAGAAGAAAAAAAAGAATCGCAGTTTCATAAATGACTCGTTTCATTGTTCGTAACAAATTCTCGATCTCGATGATAACGCATCGATTATCGATACTCGTTGTTTTGATAAACGTTACGCGATTCTGGCATCGTTATATACATCGCTGACTAAACGTTATCCAGTAACTTTAATTTCGTTAGTTTCCGTTCGTTTGGTGGAACGTCATAATATGTTAATTTATTATTCCATTTAAATTCACGAAAATATTTACCAAAACAACGACGGAATAGCCTGCTGGAGTGAACGCGCTCGTAAAAGTAAGCTGAAGAAAGAAAAGAAAGTAGGAGTAAGGAAAGAAAAGTGAACGCGAGCGCTGATTACGGTAGTAATCATAAGTCAGATTAAATGACCGCTCTTAATAGTAGTAGTAGTAGTAGTAGTAGTAGTAATAATAATAATAATAATAATAATATTAATATTAATAATAATAATAGATCGTTGGTCGCGTTTGAACGATTATGAATCGGCGAAAAATCAATAGCAGTTTGTAGGTTTTCTTATCGCTTAATAACGGGACCACACAAACTAGAAGGCTTATCGGGTATAATAGAACGGCGCAGCGTCTACAACTACGACGACTACGACGACTACGATTGCGACTGCGACGACTTGAAAAGGAATTTTTGTAACGGATCGCAGTCGCGCGTATCGTTTCGAGCGATATCGTATCCTTGTGCTTGGGGAATAATAAATTTTGAAAAAAACCGTTCAACTAACAACGTTCTCGATAAGATAAAAAACGCGAGACATGCGCCGATTACGATACGTCCACTTTATTACGGTGGTTCTTCGTCGATTGGTAAATTTATTTTTGGATTCGATATCACCAGGGAAATTTCGTAAACTGCCTTCCTTCGTGTTTCCTTGCGCGTGCGAGTCCGCGCATACGATGCAACGATAGCCAACGTTAATATCTGATGGGTTGCCAAACACCGGTGGTTTCGTCTCGACGATAATAATGAGGTCTGTTATCACGGAAGACGGTGACGGCCGGAAATTGATTGTCCTGTATGTATTTGAGCGTCGCCCGGACCTAGAGCAAACCAAGTATTTCGGTTAAGAGGAACGCGAACGCGAACGTTACACGCGTTAAGTACGTCCAACGATCTCGTATTTATTCGAATACCACCTGTGATACGAAATGCGGAAGTTCCACTTCTGGCGAAGTCGAAAGGTGTTGCAGAATAAATTGATCGGACTGAGCTAACCAAAGGTCGACTCCTCTGAGAGGATCGTAGTTGAACGGTCCGATTCTGAGTAGTCCCAGCGTGCAATCGTAAACGTCCAGAACCTGTGCGGAACGATAGAGATTTGTTGGTAAATTGCCGTCGTTTCGGCAGCGGTCACTACTTTTCTTTTCTCCTTCGTTAACGGAAATCAGAAGAGTAGCTGCATATCGGATAGTTACGCACCTGCTGACCACCGGTCAATTGTCTGGCACACCTTAGAGCTTGTTCGGGACCCTTGTCTGGGAAGGTTGCGGGAAAGATCTCGCCCGTTTTCACGTTCAAACCGATCCCGAATATCATCGGCCAATGAATACCCCCCCTTACGGTTGTGTTCAATTCGCCCACGCAACAGAGAGTCAAGTCGATCTCTACCGGTTGTTTGTGAAACGCGGCTAAAACGAAAATCCTTAAGTTTACCTTAATCCTCGATCCTCGATCCTCGATCCTCGATACTCGATACTCGATACTAGAGATTTTACACGATCAAGTTGGAACGTTGCGTTTTCGCGAATGTCCCGAGCAACTTGGAAACTTACCGAGAATATTGCAAAATAGTTCTTCGGAATAATTTCTAGGATCAGAATAGCCACCGACCAGTTGCAATTCCAGCCGACCCTCCGGGAATCCTAGAGCTAGCTCGGTTACCCTTTGGACCATCGTCGCTGCCGCGTCTTCGGTGCCAGCTCCATCGAGATGCGCCAACGCCGCAGCACCCGAACCTACGCCACCAGCCATCGTTAGTTAGTGATCTGGTTCGCTCTCGTCTCGTTAACGCGCCTAATTACGATACAAACTGATCGGTAAGGCGAGTTTCGATCGATCGCACGGCTTACCGGAATGCCTCACAACGACGATTATGCAGGTAGTCATATCGTCCGAGCCGATAATGCTCACGTTTTCTGAAAAAAAGACAGACGAGGTGCCGTGTAACGAGCGACTTAACCGTAAATATTTGAGGAACAGAAGGGATCGGAGAAGTCACTTACTGTCGTGTGGTAAAGTAGCAGCCATTTCTCGTTGCTGGACATACAGCAGACCCATTGGACCCACCAATTTCGCTGGCATCGAGTGCAGTTGCGTCGCAGTTTCACGATAGACCGGATGGGCCGCGTACAACGACCTACTATCCGTTGGAATGTCCTCTTGCAGGACCCCGTTCACCACCAACACCATTCTGCATGCGTATAGAACGAAACCGATTAATTCAATTTTCTATCAGAATAAAATAGAATATATCATAGAAACGGATTCGATGTTTAACGTAGGGAATGAAACGTTGAAAGTTGAACGACAAGGAACACGTTTGGAGAACGGAGGACGAAGGACTTTACTTGTCAAAGCTCACGATCTACGAAGCGTTGTGGCAAAGCCAGTTACAAGATCGAGAGATCGAAGATCAGCGGTGGCGATGGCGACGGCGATGGCGGC